AATGTTGGTCCAATAGAAAATGAGTCTGGGGAATTAGCAATGGATTGGCAATTAACAATAATGAGATGGCAGACAAATTGTTCAGGTATTTTGGGTCAGTCTTCACTAGAAAGATAAGTGGCATCCTGGAAATAGCTGTAAATCAGGAATTAAAGGGATGGAGGAACTGCAGAAAATTGCAGTTATCAAGGAGGTAATACTGCGAGCTGACAAGCTCCTGGATCCTGATGGATTTCATCCTAGGGTCTTAAAAATAAGTCAGCAGTGAGATAGTTGATCTGCTGGTTTTAATTTTCTAAAACTTATTAGGGTAATGTTCCTTTAGATTAGAAAATAGCTAATGTAACTCCTTTATTCAAAAAGGGAGGGAGGCAGAAAACAGCTGAACATCTGTCATTAGAGAAAACGTTAGAAACCAAATGTTATAACAGGGCATGGGGTTAGCTTCATGGTAATTTGCCAACGTGGGTATTGTCAAAGGGAAATCATATTTAACTGATTTTATTGGTTATTTGAAGAGGCAATTTGAGCCATGGATAAAGGGGAACCAAGGGGTGTACTGTACTTAGTTTCCAGAAGACAATAAGGTACCACTTCAAAAGTTATTGTGGAAAAAACTAAGTGTTGGTAACATATTGGCATGGATAGATGAGGCTAACAGGAAGCCGAGAGTAGGAAAAATGGATCTTTTTCAGATGATGTGATGTCACAGATGGTGTGCCACAATCAGCGCTGGGGCCTCAACTCTTCATAATTTTAGAAGTTAATTTTTGTAAATGATTTGCTTTAAGGGACTGAAGGTATGATAGCTAAATTTGCTGATGACATAAAGATTGATAACCTATTACCTCTGTAGTTTCCTTTACTAAGTGAGTGGACAAAAGTCTGGCAAATGAATACATGGGATTCTTGAGTAGATCTGTAGGTTGGGTCGTGGATGCTGTGGTTGGTTCACTCGCCGAGCTGGTTCGTCTACGAACTAATGAACCGGCTCGGTGAGTGAACCAACCACAATATGTGGGAAAATGAGAGAATATTCATTTTGGCAGAAATAATCAAAGCGTGTTATCTAAATGATCGGAGAGCTCTCTGTGTCCTAATGTATGTAGGTTAGAACACAGGTACAGCAGGTAATTGGGAAAGCTAATAAATGTTATGATTTTTTTGAGGGAAATTGTATGCAAGAGTAGGCACATTATAATTCAGTTATAAAGGACAAGGTTGAGACTACATCTGGAGTTATGCGGACAGTGTTAGCCACTGTACATATGGAAGGATGTAATGCATTGGAAACATTTCGAGAAGGTTTACTACACTAATACCCAGAATGAGTGCGTTTCCTTATGAGGAAAGGCTAGGTCTCTGTACTCTGGAGTTTAGAAGAATCGGAGGTGATTTAATCGAAACACATAAGATCCTGAGGGGATTTGATCGGGTGGATGTGGAAAACTCTTTTCACTTGCAAGAGAATCTAGAACTAAGGGTCGTAGTTTAAAAGTAAGGGATCACCCATTTAAGACAAATGAGGAAAGATTTTTTTCATCTGAGGTTTGAGAGTCTTTGAAATTCCCTTCCTGAAAAGGCAGTGGATACAGAATCTTTAAATATTATTAAGGCAGAGGTGAATAGATCCCTGATTACCATGGAGATGAAAGATTATCGGAGATATGCAGGAATGTAGAGTTGAGGTTAAATCGGATCAGCCGTGGTCTTATGGAATAACAGAGCAGGCTTGAAGGGCTGAGTGACCTACTCTTGCTTTTTGCTCATATACAAACACAATAGGCTAGCTCATCAGTATAATCCTGCCAATATTCCCGTCCTCCACTGTATAGTTATTGTTGCCCCAGTCTAATCACCATTACAGACATTGAGTAGTGTATTCTATCCAAAGTGTGATGTCTTTTAGTTCTTCTGAAGAACTCTCATAAAAACTGCACTTTTCAGGGTAAGTTTTACACTGCAGCAGTAAAATTGTTGTAATAAATTTATGGCTGTCTGGTTGTTGCCTATCCATGCAACCGTGTAGCTTACTGGGAATGTTGGTGATTGGCAAAGATACCTCAAAAATATATTCTACTAAACAGACCATTCAGCTCATTGAGCCTAACTAACCATTCTAGGTTGTGCCTGTCATCTCAATGACTTTTTCTCGCACTGTCTCCGTATTCCTTGACCACATTGGTCTCCAGTTCTGTTGAACTAAAATCTCTGATCTCCCTGAATTTGTATTTTCTTTGAGCAGTGAAGACTTTGTAATTTGAAACTTGTCTGCAAGTATGTTTTCTAGTATCTAGTGCCCATCCTTGGTTCCATTCTCGAACTAGTGGAAATAGTGCTTGCAAACAAATAGTCTGCTCGTCCATTTTAAAACACCTGGGGATCGGCCAGTTTCTGTCAGTTCACCATTCCTACAGTGTGTAGTTATCGTTAGTGGTGCAGCGGCAATAGTTTAAATGGAATAGTTCATTCGGAGCTGGGCTCAGCAGTCAGTTCTATGCCTTAACATTCTGCATTCACCAGAAACAGTCCATTTCCAAATACGGCAGACCCTGGACTTTACACAGGTTTGAGCTGATAAGTGGCAAGTAGCATCCATGTACACAAATGCAATACCATGATTATCTCCAACAAGAGAACAAATAACCATTGCCCTTGACATTCAAGGGTCTTGCCATCGTTGATTATCTCAGTATTAATATCTTAGGGATTACCATTGACCAGAAACTGAACTGGACCAACCGCATAGAGACTAGGGAATCCTGCAGCAAGTAACCCACCTCATGTCTACCTAAAGCCTGTCCACTATCTACAAGGTACGAGTCAGGAGTCTGATGGAATATTCTCCATTTGCCTGAATGGATGCAGCTGCAAAAACACAGAAGAAGCTTGATACAATCCAGGACAAAGCAGCCTGCTTGATTGACACTACATCCACAAGCATCCACTCCCTCCACCACCGCCTAGTGGCAGCAGATGTTCCTTCTGGTTAGGGAAAGGTGGAAACTGATGTTTGAAGTACAATTTGGTTATCTAAGATTACAAAGGGATTCTGATCAGTTGGGCCAATGGGCTGAAGAGTAGCAGATAGAGTTTAATTTGGATAAGCACGCAGTATTGCATTTTGATAAAGTGAAAAAGAGCAGGACTTGCGTAGATTATAGTAGGGCCCTGAGTGCTGGTGTCAATCAGAGAGACTTGGGGTTCAGGTACATAGATCTTTGAAAGTTGCGTTGCAGGTAGACAGGGTGGTTAAGAAGACGTTTAGTACGTTTTGCCTTATTGCTCAGACCGTTGGGTATAAGAGTTGGGAAAAAGAGTTGGGATGTCATGTTGAGATTGTACAGGACATTGAGGCCACTATTGTTGTACTTTGTACAGTTCTTATCCTGCTATCGGAAGGATATTATTAAATTGGACAGGGTTCAGGAAAGACTTACCAGGATGCTGGGACTGGAGGATTTGAGTTGTAGGGATAGGCTGGGACTTTTTTCACTGGAAAGGTTGAAGGGTGACCTTATTGATGTTTAAAAGATCATGAGGGGCATAGATATAAGGTGAGCAGCAATGGTCTTTTCCCTATGGTAGATGAAGAATTCCAAGTTATTACCACATGCTGTTTTTAAAAAAAAAAATCACCTTCACTGTTCCCTTTAATCATTTGCCCAAAACTTGAAACCTGTGTCACCTTTTTCTTGTACTGTCAGCCAATGTTTCTTTATCTACCTTATCCAAACCTATCAATCAAATCTCCCTTCAATCTCCTTTGCTTCAAGGAGACAAGCTCCTACATTGTGGGTTGACGCAAGATACATCCTGCATCATGAATGATTCCAAATTAAACCGGAGTGGTCGAAATTTTATGTCCTGGATAATAGTATGGTTATAAAGGATTAAACGCACATCTGTAGTTATTTTGCATTTTCCTGTCACAGACCTTAGTAAATATTGGCATGCTCGTTGTTAACCCTCGTTTGATATCCAATGGAAGTGCCATCAATTCAAAGTATTGTTGCCATTGGAGAGCATTATTATTCAGAAGCGGTAGCAAAATAGCCAGCTCGTGATCCACTTTTTACTGAAATCTTAGAAATCTGAGGACCCTGGGATCCCCTCGACATTCCAGTGTGACAATCTAATGGCAGACCAATTTATTTATACCTTCTCTGTGGGAATCATCTGAAAGAGAGAATATACGTTTCCAGAGTGTTTTGCTACGTGAGGATGTCCCAAACCGTTTTCAACCAGTTCAACACTTTTGCTGTGTAGTTGTCATTATATTGTGGGAAATGCAGCTAGATCCCACAAACTGCAGTGGGACAGTGAATTACCCGTCATCGTTCACAATGCATTCGGGAGAAAAACAGCCCATGCTGTTAATTTCTGAATGGATCGATACAACGCTTGAAACTGGGTTATGATTCAGACTGTTAAAGATATAAGTTGGCTGTGAAGCTATTAGTTCGTGCTTGGCTTGTTTGTGTGACTGATTCAGTCTTATTTAGAGCGACCCCTTGGTGTAATACACTTTCTGCTTGCCATCTGTTATTTCCATTGGTTGCCAAGTTGGTGAATTGAAAAGGGACATAAACTCCTGATGAGTTCACAAATGTTAAAGGGATTTTTGGAAGAACTTCTTCACATAACAGGCTATTAGTCTGAAATACTTGAAATGTTAACTCTTCCTCTCCATAGATGCTGAGAGATCTGTTGAGTTTCTCCAGCAATTTCTGGTTTTCGGTTCAGATTTCCAGCATCCGGGGTTCTTTGGTTTATATTGGCATATAGATTCTTAAAATAGATAGCTTTCAATGTTGAGTCATTATAATATTTAAAGAGGAACTGGCTAACTATTAAAAATTTTGTCCCAGTTCCAGAAATTATTCCAGTAAGAGAGAGTACAAACACAGTAACTTTTTCCTGTATCAGTGATTCCATACTTATGTCTTTTTCTATTGTAATGCAAAAAATTGAAAGTGTTTTTGCTTACTCCTCTCCAGGAAAGGTTGAAGTTGGTAACGGTTCTTGGCGCTGGACTTCTGTGTGGCACTGCTCTAGCAGTCATTGTTCCTGAAGGGGTTCATGCACTATATGAGGATGCTCTGCATGGTAAGTTATAGATCCATATCCCAGTCTTGTTTGAAAGTACTGCAGAGCACAGAATGAAAGCAAAGTGGCACCCTGTAAATCATGAATCAAGAACAACTTTGTTTGCCTTATGACTGCATTCTTCTGATTGATCCATTGCATGCCAGAATTTAGATGACAGTTTTTAGGTTAAAAACATATGAGAGCTGGTACAGGTGAATTTGGATCACCTAAAATCCAATTTTCTGAATTACTTTGACACTGTGCAGAGTTCAAGACTAAGTGTCTTGTGCAAATGACATAGGGTAAGAGAGCAATGAACAATCTGACCAGGGCACATAATGTAACTCAGTCAACGCTTTCAAGTTGGAACATTTTGTCTTCAATATTTGCATGATGCTTTGTCTAAATTAATTATAGTTTAAATAGAAAAATTGTAATGCCCTTAGAGAAATGGAGTTGATTGAAGCTGGATTATTTCATAGTTGTATTGGATGAAGGGCTAGATGCAAAACAGAGTACCACCATTTATTACTAGTAATTGCACCCTCCTACAAGTTTACATGCGACGTTTTTGTTATGGTTGGTTCGCTTGTCGACCTGGTTCATTGTTCCGCAGACGTTTCATTACCCTGCTAGGTAACATCATCAGTGCAGCTTCCGATGAAGTGCTGTTGTGTTTTCCCGCCTGTTATTTAAACTCTGGTTACCAATGAGCTGGGTTACCTTACTTCTGGTTTTTCTTCACGATGGAGTATATATAGGGTCTAGCTCTGTGTTTGTTGATGGACTTCTTAGTGGAGAACCAGGCCTCTAGGAATTCCCGTGCTTGTCTCTGCTTGGCCTGTCCCAGGATCCTGGTGTTGTCCCAATCGAACTGGTAGTTTTCCTTATCCACGTGGATGGAGATGAGTGAGTTTTGGTCGTGTCTTTTTGTTGCTAGTTGATCATCGTGTGCTCTTGTGGTTAATTTTCTACCTGTCTGTCCAATGTAATGTTTGTCGCAGTCTTTGCAGGGAATCTTGTATATGACATTGGTCCTGTCCATAGTGGGTAATGGGTCTTTGGTTCAGGTTAGCAGTTGGCGTAGGTTGATATGGGTTTGTGTGCTACTCTGATGCCCAGTGGTCGTAGGAGTCTTGGGGTCAGTTCAGATGTGATGTGTTCTTGATGTAGGGTAGCATCAGGAGCATGTCAGGGCGTGTAGTATCATCATTTTGGCATAGTTCTGTGTTGCTGCAGTGTGTTGTTGCCCGTCAAAAAGAAGACTACCTCTTCCAAGTATTCAAGAACAATGGATATGCGAAAAACTGGTTCCGAAGATGCCTATTACACAAACAACCATCAGGAAGATACAACGAACCAGCTCGGCGAGCCAACTAACCACAACATCCATGACCTGAGCTACAAATCTACTCAAAAACCTTAGAGTAATATTTCTGTTAATTTGATGTAGGTTTTACCACTATAAATTCCTGATGCACAGCTTGAGCCAGAAACATGATGACAATATACAGAATAATTTTCAGGGGAAGAATTTTTTGCACAGTAGATCAATGTCACACTATTGGTAAAGTACAATCTTGCCAAGTCTAAGAAGGAGTAAAAATTCAATAACAGAAATGTCGTAATTACCCAGGGGAATGTTTTAATAAAAACCGAAAGAACTGCGGATGCTGTAAATCAGGAAGAAAAACAAAGTTGCTGGAAAAGCTCAAAGGTTTTTAATGTAATGCTTCACTTGATTGTTCCTTGCTTATTCATTTGCTTATGCATTTCAGCGGTCCATTTGGCAATGCGTAAATGAGCAGTACTGTATACCATATTTGGTTTGTCCATACCTCGTGATCATAACCTTTCAATCAAACTTAGGTATTGCTACATCTTGTGATTCTGACATACTAGGCTGGAGGATAGATAAATAGGGACAGAGTGGCAACCATTAAAGGGAGTATTTCATAATATTCTGAATAAATATATTCCATTATAAAGAAAAGAGAATCCACCATCTGTGGTTAAGTAAAGAAGTAATTAGGGAAAGCATCACACTTAAGAAAAAGCATTTTACTACACAAAAATGAAAGCAGGTCAGATGAATGATCAAAATATAAAGTATGACTAAAAGATTAATCAAGCGGAAGAAACTAGAGTATGAGAGGAAGTAAGCTAGGAATGGATAGTTTTATACAAATATTTTAAAAGGAAAAGACTAAATGAATGTCGATTTTCTAGAGGGTGAGAATGGGGAGTTGATTGCAGATAATATGGAATTGATCAATTAAGTTAGGATACATTTTGCCTCTGTCTTCACTATGAAGGACTCAACAGAATTCCCAGTAATAACTTTAAATCAGGAGATGGAAAGAAGAGAGGAATTTAGCGAATTTGCAATCACAAAGGAAGTGGGTACTAAGCAAACTGGAGCTGTGAGCTGACAATGATCCAATTCCAGCTAGCCTTCATCATAGGGCCTTAAGAGGTGGTTAATGAGCTAGTGGATAGTTTTTATTTTCCATTGTTTTAAAAATTTCATCCTTCATGAGTGTCGCCAGCATTGCCAGAATTTGTTGGCCATCCCCAGCGCCCTTGAAGATGGTGGCGAGCTGCATTCTTGAACTACTGCAGGGGCACAAGTGACATAGCAGTAATGTCACTAGACTTGCAATCCAGAGGGACAGGACAGTGCATGGGGGACATCAGTTCACGTCCCACCATGGCAGCTGTTGCAATTTAAATTGCATCAATAAAATTGGGAATGAAAAGCTAGGCTTGGAAATGATTACAATTGTTAATTTAAAAAAAAAAAAATCTGGTTCACTAAAGTCCTTTTAGGGAAGAAAAAAATCTGCCATCCTTTCCCGGTCTGACCTAGGCATAACTTCAGATCCACAGTAATATGGTTAACTCTTAATAGCCCTCTGAAATGCCTAACAAACCATCAGTTCAAAGTCAGTTATGGAAGAATAAAAATTGAAAAAGCCAATCTAGTATTGGTGTGGGCGGCACAGTGACTTGGTGGCTGGCAATGCTGTCTCACCGCGCCAGGGACCCGAGTTTGATTCAACCTCTGGCAGCTGTCTGTGTGGAGTTTGCACGTTCTCCTTGAGTCTGTGTGGGGTTTCCTTCGGATACTCCGGTTTTCTGTCATGGTCCAAAGATGTGCAAATTAGGTGGTCTGACCCCATGCTAGATTGCTCATAGTGTCCAGAGATGTACAGAATAGTGGATTAACTGTGGTCAGTACAGAGCTACAGGGACAGGGTGGGTCACTCCAGAGCAATGGTGTGGACTAAAATGGGCTGAATGGCCTGCTCCCTCACTGGGGTTTCTTGTGCAGTGCTCTGGGGGAAGGAAAGCAAGGCTAATGGGCTAATGTCATTGTAGTGGACTAAACTGGTTCTGTAGTTTCTGAAAATGCAGCCTTTTGTTTTAATTGTTTAAGACTTCTAATGACACTCATAGAATCAGAAAAAGAGACTGCTCAACCCTTTGTGCCTATTCTGTCTCTTTGAAACAGCTATTCAAGAGCTCAAACTCTCCTACCCTTTTTCCATAGCGATACAAATATTCCCCTTATAAGTTGAATGTTATTCTTGACATTATAAAAATGGAAATGATGACGGAGGCTAATCATAGTGAAATAATTTGTGCACTGGCAGATACTTGGAATTGCTGCTGTCCTGACAATGGACTGCCTGGTGTTAAGTCAAAAAACTAGACTCGGTGCTACAGGCATCAGTGTTCACAACTGAAAGGTAGCAGGGTTGTTGCTGAGATTCACAATAACCACAGCTCTGGCCTGTGCATGTGATTGAAGATATGCCAAGTCATTTGATTAGGGAGTGACCTGTGGTTCATGAAGCCATGCAAAGTTTGAACATTGCTGTGTATGTGCTAAAGGAAGGCTCGCACTCTCGTTAAAGTGTTTTCCTTTTTTTTTCTCAGATAAACATACCCATGGAAGTGAAGCAGAAAAGGTGGAGGAATCTTTAAAAACAGGACAATCAGCAGAGACGGAGCACGATCATGAGCATATTGCTTTGCATGCCTACATTGGGGTTTCATTGGTCCTGGGATTTGTTTTTATGCTGCTGGTTGACCAAATAGGCAGTTCTCACATGCACTCCAGTGATGGTAAGAGGCACTTCAAATCTTACTCATTCATTTTTTTTCAGAAAATGCAGAGACCCAGTGAGCTAGTACCTAAGGCTTGAATGTTTTGATCTTGGTTGGCATCCCTAATTATGATTCATGTCAGACAGAATGCAGCCCACTTGCCATGCTGGGCAGGGAGATGAGTATTGCTGGCTGGTGTGAAGACAGCAGGGGGAAGGGGATGGAGGCATGTTGGCCAGGAGTGGCATATAGAGGTGAATCATGGGGCTTGAAAGGAAATCTTGTTCAGCCTTGTGGGGAGCGAGGGGTTTATGTCAGAGTGAGGAGATGTATTTTGTTGGGGCAGAGGAGTGTCTAATCAGAATTGGTGTAGAGCGTTACAGTTGGGAGATGGAGGAATTGGATCTGGTTAGAGTAGAGGGTAGGGAATGGTCTAGCCAGGAGGCTGCTGGGGTAGTGGAATGGTCAGTTTTATAGTTAGCCAGCAGTAGGAGCACACTTCAATCCCTCTGACTTTTTGTCGACTACTGTCCCAGATAAACATATATTTAGTGCAGTCTTACCACCCCAAAGCTTCCATTTCTACCACAGCTTTGTAAAGTAGTGTTTTAAAGTTAGTGACAGGATGGTGATTTTCTCTAATATGCCCTGTTTTCTGAAAAATGTGTCGAGTGAATCAATTTGTAGAGTTGTGGTTTGATTTTGATATAAAGCTGTGAATGTGACAGAACCAAACAGCATTACAAATACTATTCAGTCCATGTGCATCTGCCAACTTTTTTGAAAACACTGTTCAACTAGTTCCTTTCTCCTGCTTTTTCTCCAAAGCCATGCAGGTTATTTGAATCTGATTGCACCATCGTTTAAATCAGTACATTCCAGATTGTAAAAACTCCTGTGTCGTAAAATTTGTCCTCAACTCCTTTTTTGCTTCTTTTGCAGATTACTTTATGTCTGAGACTTCTGGCTATCAGCCTTTCTGCCACTAGAAAGGCCTCATTATTCCTACCAATGTGAATCATTTCCCCCTCAGTGTGTTACATTTCATCTAGTGTTTTTGTCCATTTCACCAGTCTGTTTCTGCTTTCTTGAAGTCTAATATTAAGCTTCTATCATTTCACTGTATTAGAGTAACCTTTGAACTGTGTATCCAAGCCCAGTTTAATGATGTATACCAGCTAGAATTGTCCTTCCATCTGATCCCAGTAAGTTGATTCTTCTGCAGTGGAAAAGAATAGGACCTTCAGAAGTTTGTATTGCATTTGAAGACTCTTACCTGCGTTCCTAGTACTTCACCTGATGAAGGAGCAGCGCTCCAAAAGCTTGGGATTTCAAATAAAACTGTTGGACTATAACCTGGTGTCATGTGACTTCTGACTTTGTTGACCCCAGTCCAACACCGGCACCTCTACATCATTCCTAGCACTTGGTGGAAGTATTTGATTTTGTTCCTGAATAGTAGCCTACTCTAATTTTCAAATTACTTGCACTTGCTTTGTATTCACCCACAAAAGGAGATAGTTTCTCTATATTTACCTTATAAATACTTTATCGTTTCAAACAACTTACTTAGGTCATCCCATAGTTGTCTAAACTTACGAGGATACAGCTCATTTCATAGAAACCATCCTCATTGCTTAATACCTCTGGTATTGTTCTAATGAAACTAATGAATCTTGGAGTATGCCCTCCAAGGTATCTCTATTCCTAGATATAACGTCCAGAAGTGAACACTGTTCAGTCAATGGGTTCTGACCAAGATCTGAATAACTGGAATGACACTTCCTCCACTTCCACACATCAAAGCTCCTGCAAAATACTAGCACCTCTGTGCCTGTTAGCTTTATTTGTGAATTTGTGAAACGGTCATATTGAATTATGCGGTATGAAACAACAGGCTGCTCTGGCCTATAAACCTGAGGGTTGATTTTTCTGACTTCAGGATTTTCCTGGTAGACACAACTGACTTTTCTCTAAATTACTAAAATTAATGTTGGCCCCTTTACACAAAAAACATAATTGACAACTAGTGTTGCAATGAAAAAATAATTTGTTTATATTTGTTGTAGATAAGCTTATAGTTCAATATTTGTATGCAGTAGCCTTTGGAATAACATTGCTGACTCTGGTTGCAAACTTTCGGCTGATTTATATAGGATATACTATGCAGAAACAGACCATTCCTCCCAACTAGCTCGTGTCGGTGCTTACGCACCATTCAAATCTCTTCCCACCCTGTTAAAATTATGTAAATGCCTTATCTAAGAGACTAGACACCAATGGACTAACAAGGACAGAAACGTGACTTGAAGTCCAGTTTGGAGAAGCCAGACGGATCCAGAGAAACCAATGGCATCCAAATAGACAGAAGAATGGAAGGATCAAAGGAATGGTTTGTTTCTAAACGTAAACATATTTTACTGACACAACAGAGACTGCAGTTAAATTTGAAGGAGTTCCCTGCACAATTTTTGTTTCTGACCTGTCTTTCAGATCCAGAAGCTGCAAGAACAGCCAACACCAAGATCACCACCACGCTTGGGCTGGTGGTCCACGCAGCAGGTAATACTGAATTTGTCATGTTGTGTGATAAGTTTAATAGTACCACATTAGTATTGCCCAATTTACCTCTGAAATGCAAGTCAGGCTTTGAATAAAAGCAGCTGATGGTGCAATCTCAGAACTGATGGTGCTCTCCTGCAGCTCGATTCATTGTTCAGACTACTGACGTGTAATCTGTTAAAGCAAACCGTGAACTGAATCTAAGCTTAGAACTCCAAAATATTTCCAGTTCACTACGCCTTTTATCAGCTACCTGATCAAAGTGTAATCCTACAGTACAAAATGTTTTCAAAGTAGCTGTTATTATACAGTCTTTTGTGATGGCTCTTTCCACCCCATTTTATCATTATATCTGATGCAGCTGAAATGTTGGTACTGAGCATTTTTTTTTTTTAAATTTTAACCAATACTGGGCCTGCTGTTATTTCTTGTATAACTTCATTTCCATTCCATTTCTTTGTCTCATTTGTAATGAAAGAGTTTTCTGGTTGCAGTTCAGATGCCGTTTAATAGATGAGTCCACAAAACAGTTTTACAAAGAACAATACAGCACAGGAACAGGCCCTTCAACCCTCAAAGCCTGCACTGACACATTTTGCCCTTCCGTACTAAAACAGTCTTCGCTTACAGGATCTGTATTGTTCTATTCCCTTCCTATTTGTCCAGGCGTATTGTGTCTGCTTCCGCTTCCTCCTCCTCCATCTCTGGCAGGGCGTTCCTGGCACTCCCCACCCTTTGTGTGAAACATGTGCCTTGCACATCGGTGTCACCATCACCACCAAGGACCTTGAACCTGTGTACCCTAGTAATTGTCCCCTCCATCCTGGGTGAAAGTCTTCTGCTTTCCACTCTATCCATGCCATTCACAATCTTATAAACTTCTATCGGATCGCCTCTCAACCTCCTGCGGTTCCTTGCCAACCTTATTCAAACTTGTCATAATCCTATCCAATCTCCCTTCAGTTTCTTTTGCTCCAAGGAAAACAACCCCAACTTCTCCAATTTAACCTTGTAACAAATGTTCCTCATCCCAGTCAACCCCTCAGAACTTTGTATCCCTCCTACCCTGTTGTGATCAGACTGGTATGCAATACTCCAGTTGCAGCTTAACCAGAGCTTTGTAATAATTCAGCGTGCCCCTCTGTTTTTGTACTTGGTGCCTTTACTTATGAAGACCAAGGCCCCATATGCTTCACTCGCCACTCTCTCAATTTGTCTTGTCATCTTAAAAAAAGAATCAGTGAACATGTACCACAAGCCCCTCCTGTTCCTGCTCATTCTTTGGGCTTGTGCCATTAAGTCAGTATGTCTCTCCCTGTACCTTCTGCCAAAATATGTGACCCCTCGCATCTCTGTACTGCAGCAGGTTCCATCTGTCACTTGTCCACCCATTCTGCTAACTTTGTATTGCTGCAGACAATTTGTATCATCCCTAATGTTTATCACTGCTGCTCAATATCCTCGTGCAGAAAGTGCATGATTTTAAATCCAAAAGAGTGCTGTTTTACCACTGACCCCGATGACCTTTTGCTATGAGCCAAGATAGTAGAAATGACAACCAAGGGTATCTACAACAAATTGTGCCTAATATTTTAAGCCATTGTTTCCTTTCAATCTAATTTTGCAGTTTTGCACTATTTGTACATTGCCCTGTGTAGTAACTGTGTTGACCACACAGTACAGCCTCTCAATCAATATGATCTGTGAAAAACAGTTTAACTTTCTAATCATCTAGTCAGTTTTTTAAACATTGAGTAACTGGAAGTAAGATTAACCATTTCAGTTGCAGGTTTGCCTGCTCTGGGCAGTTATTGGGTTTGAAGCAGTTATTTTATTTGTGTTCCCCTGCAGTACCCAGTCTTATCTCTTCCTTTCCCTTATAGCGGATGGCATTGCATTGGGTGCAGCAGCTTCTACATCACAGACGAGTGTACAGTTGATTGTATTTGTAGCTATTATGTTGCACAAAGTAAGTCTTCAAATCTTGAATTTCCTAGTTTTTCTTTAAGGTATACCATATATCTCTCTCACTGGTGTAACTGATAATGAGCCCTGGTCTGGATTATAATGGCTATGGTTCTGGAATTACCAGAGGCCTAGATTAATAACTTGGAAGTTCTCTTGCAATCCTATCAAGGAACCTTATGAAATTAAATTCTGCTATATTTTTAAAAACTGTTTGTGAAAACCCAGCAAATGCAATTTTTGGGAAGGAAACCTGCCATTCTTCTTTGGCTTGGCCTACATGTAGCTCCCCTCTGAAATGGCCTAGCAAGCTACTCATTTGTACTCAACATTACAAAATAAAAGTCCAATAAGAATATAATCTCAGACTACCTGGCATTAATTTGGCCACCAGACTTGACAAAATTTACCCAAGCATGGTTAGCCTGAAAGATTGTCCTCAGTAACAATTAGTCATTCGGATCTTCTGGCCCCGTAACAACAACCATTGAGAGATTTGTTACAATTGCAGTGGCACTCCAGGGAGCTGACAGGTGTTGTCATCCAACAGAAAGGTCTTGTGGGAGCCCATGCTCATAGTCCCACCAGGACCTCTCAGCACCTGACCTTTGTCTGTTTGCATGGTCCTTAGCCAGTTATTTAAACTGATTCATTTAGGGCTGCTCCTGCAGACATAAAGCTTGCTGCAAAAGTGCACTTCTGTAAATCAGTGGATAAGATCAGAAATCACATGACATCAGGTTATAGTCCAACAGGTTTATTTGAAAGCACAAGCTTTTGGACTCTTACTCCTTGTGTGTTAGTGAGAGAGCTAGTATCATACACAGAATTTATAAGTAAAATATCGAAGGGTCACACCACTGCTGAGGATGTACTAAACAAAGCTAAGATGCTGTTAAATCTTTAATCAGTTACTTTAATTAAAACTTTCTAAAAACTGAAAAGACTGCAGATGTTGTAAATCAGGAACAAAAACAGAAGTTGCTGGAAAAGCTCAGCAGGTCTGGCAGCATGTGAAGAAAAAAAATCAGAGTTAACGTTTTGGGTCTGGTGACCCGAACTCAGAACAGGCTTCTAACTGATTAAAGATTTAACAGCGTCTTAGGTTTTATTAGTACATCCTCAGCAGTTGTGTGACCCTTCGATCTTTTAATTATAAATTCAGTGTCTGATACCACCTGTCTCACTAACACCTGAAGAAGGAGTGAGACTCTGAAAGCTTGTGTTTTCAAATAAACCTGTTGGATTATAACCTGGTGTTGTGTGATTTTTGACCTTGTCCACCCCAGTCCGACACCGGCACCTCCACGTCATGGCTCAATCCATGGAAGTATCGAAAGTTCTGCCAACCCCACCTCACCTGTACTTTTTGGGGGCGTTGCAATTTGGCTGAAATTTCAAAAAAGACTTTATTTGTTGTGAAGTGTCTTAAATGCTGTATGATAGTGAAAAACACTATATAAATCTGAGCTTTTCTTACTAATTACTTTACCTCTGCCCCGTCCCTTCCAATTTCTAAAAGTGATGTGGAACACTAACAGACTTTCCACTGCAGGTAGATAATTTATATCATTAAAAAGTCACTGTGTGAAGTCCATGCAAACAGCATCCTGACAATCCTTGGGAATTCTAGTTTTTGACACTATCGAAAATTCTTGCTTCAAAAATGACCTAAAGGGCACCAGCCAACTGTCAATATTTTTCTCCTGGAATGTGACAGAACTCCTGTATTACTGCAAACCTCAGTTAATCCAGCAACCCTCTTGTAATGTACGTGTGTAGACCATGTTGGCTATTGACCATGAATGAAAGGATTGAATTTATCTAACAGTTTCCACTGCTTCAGACCATGTAGAAACACTTCTCAACTAATGAGATTTAATCCTGTTTCTGCCATGTAGGAAACTCGGTGCCACATTAGCCACAAACAGCAGATAACTAGACAATTTCTTTTGTACTGATGGTTGAGTTAAATCTTGACCAGGAAACAGAAGAACTTGCTTCAATAAAACATTGTGAAACCCTTTATCTTCACACGACAGCAATTGGCGTCTCTATTTCGTGTTCATCAATCAAGACAGCTGCTTCAATAGTGCAGCATTCCCACCTAGAGGTTCCTTCTAGGTTTCATGCTGGTATTTCTAGGATTGGTCTTGAACCTGCAACCCTTCAGCTTGAGTGGTAACAATTGAGCCATAGCTGACACAGTACCACACCAGCAGCCAAAGTTGACGTGGTCATGTGCAGTTTTTGGCAGAAGGCGTAATCAAACATGGGAACCCGGGTCTGCATTTTGGATGAGGAGTAAAATGATAGGATTGTAGAAAAGCATACTTAATTTATCCCAGCATTCCTCTCCTCTTCCTGTTTTTAGGCTCCTGCTGCTTTTGGTCTGGTTTCGTTTCTTATGCATGCAGGCCTTGAAAGGAATCGAATCAGGAAACACCTTCTGGTGTTTGCTTTGGCAGCACCTCTGCTCTCCATGGTCACTTATTTGGGCCTGAGTAAGGTATGTACCCTGAGTTAATAACATGTTCATTTACCATTTGCCACATGAAAGTGTTACAATATGATGACTGCCCTGTCAGCTGTGTACTGCAGGCAGTGAGGTTCATAGTAAATCAATCTGCTTTTTGGTGTCTTTTGAGAAGGGATTGGCCAGGATCCCAAGAGGATTCCTTCCTCTTGTCTGAATAACGGACTTAAATGAGCAGTTGGAGACTGTGTTTTAAATCTCCCATAGGATGAAGCCATTTTGACTTTCCTGAAACTGCTGTTGAAGATGTCAACTCAGATGCCAGGTTTTAGCCTGATGCTCGAATTTTTCAACCCGTGACTCTGATGCAGATGTGGGAATATTGCCAAGTCAGTTAAGAGAGCCATGTAACTTCTGGCAGCCTTTCAGGCACTAGTTGACTCTCAGGCCAGGTAATAGGGTCATAGTCATAGTCATACAGTATGGAAACAGACCCTTTGGTCCAACTAGTCCATGGAGACCATGACCAAATAAACTAGTCCCACTTGCCTGCTCCTGGCCCATGTCCCTCCAAACCTTTCCTATTCGAGTACTTTATCCAAATGTCTTTTAAATTTTGTAACTGTACCAACATCCACCATTACTTCTGAGGCTATAGGCTTGCTGAGCCGTATATCAGAGATGACCACAAGACTACTCAGACCCCTAGGTATCAAGGTAGTCCAACAACCACCCTGCAACAGCTACTGACGAACATAAAGTATCCCATACCCACAACCAATATAACTAATGTAATATACAAAATACCATGCAAAGACTGTGAGAAACATTACATAGGCCAAACCGGATGAAAACTGACAATAAGAATGCACGAACACTAACTAGCCACCAAGAGACACGACCAATTCTCACTGGTCTCGATACACACAGACGAAGAAGGACACGAATTCGACAGGGATAGCACAAGCCAAACAGAGACATGCCAGGGAATTCCTGGAGGCCTGGCATTCCAACCAGAGCTCCATCAACGAACACGTTGAACTGGACTGTATATAGAAATCACCGAAAAACAGAATCGGAAGTAATGTTGACCATCCCATCAAATCGAGGTATATAAATAACAAACGGGACAGAACGCCAACACTTCACCAGAGATGCACTGACGATGCTACCTAGCAGGCTGACGAAATGTCTGCAACCAAACACTCCAGCTCAACGAGCAAGTCTACAACCTCATCCACGGTGGCTCAGTGGTTAGCACTGATACCTCACAGCGCTAGGGACCCGGGTTCGATTCTACCCTTGGGCGACTGTCTGCGTGGAGTTTTCCTATTCTCCCCATGTCTGCGTGGGTTTCCTCCCACAGTCCAAAGATGTGCAGGCTAGGTGGATTGGCCACGCTAAGTTGCCCATAGTGTCCAGGGATGTGTAGATTAGGTGGGTTATAGAGGGATGGGTCTGAGTGGGATGCTCTGAGGGTCAGTATGGACTTGTTGGGCTGAAGGGCCTTTTTCCACACTAGCAATTCTATGAAAAAAAAACCCGAGCTACAAATCTTCTCAAAAACTTTTAAAGCTCATTCCACACATGAGCCACTCCCTGTAAGAAAAAAAAAGTTGCCCCTCGTGTCCTTTTTAAAACATTCTCCTCTCACTTTAAAAATATGTCCCCTTGGTTTGAACTCCTCCACTCTAGGGAAAAGACCTTTACAATTCACCTTGTGTATGCCTTTATAAACCTCTATAAGGTAACCCCTCAACTTCCTACGCTCCAGTGGAAAAAGTCCAGCCTATTTTTACAACTCGAACACTCCATTCCTGACAACATCCTGGTAAATCTTTTCTGAACTCTCTCCAATTTAATAATATCCTTCCTATAGCAGGGCGACCAGAACTGCATATGGTACTCCAGAAGAGGCCTCACCAATATCCTGTACATAATCAACAAGATGTACCAACTCTTATACTCCGTGATCTGAGCAATGAAGGCAAGCATGCCTTCTTAACCACCCTGTCTACCAGTGGTTAATGACCATCTGATATAGAGACAACAGATCATGCTGAATGATAATAAATTTGATAAAAATCACAAACGTTTAGCATCTCCACCATCCAGCATGATGTACAGTGGGCGCTGTAAGAGGGAGGAAGGATACTGAATAACTGGGTAGTTTTAAATGCACACATGGGTACACAAATGAAATAAGAATACAAATAAATTAAATTTCATCTTTTTGGGCTATGTGGTTGATTAATTTTCAATAGAAAAAGACTTGTGATGAAAGAGAAGGGAGAATTTCCACTTATGGCATGGAAAAAGGATATTTGGCCCATAGTGTCCATCCCACATCGCTATTTTGTCAGTCTTATTTCCCGTAGCCATGCAAATGTATTCCGCTCGAGTGCCTCTCCAATTTTCTTTTGTCCTTCCGTCCTTCCGTCCTCTCTCTCTGTGTCTGTACCACTGTCCTGGGTAGTACGTAATCACGTCTCGCGGCACAGAAGAAATGTTCTTCCCCACATCCCCCTGCATCACTTGCTCAGAACCTTGAGCCTATGTTCCCCTTGACCTTTGCAATCAGTTGATGGGAACGTGCTTCTTTGACTATCTTGTCTAAACCTGCCATAACTGTGTGCACCTGTATCAAATCTCAGCTGAGTCTCCTTTGCTCCAAGACAACCCCTAGCTGCTTGAACCTAACCTAGCATCTGAAATCCCTTTATCGTGTGAACTATTGTGGGCAATTGCTTTGACACCCTCCAAGGACATTCATATTCCTCCTGAAGTGTCTTGACTGAAACTGCATGTAATAGTCTGAGACAGTAAGAACTGCGGACGCTGGAGCCAGAGATAACAGTATGGATCTGGAGGAACGCAGCAGGCCAGGCAGCATCAGAGGAGCAGGAAAGCTGACGTTTTGGGTCGGGACCCTTCAGGGATGGGGAAGGGAGATCGGAAATAAATGGAGGAGGAATGGGGCTGGGGGAAGTAGGTGGGATTGTGATAGGTGAGTGCAGTGGTGGGATTGGTCAGTGAGGTGGGAGGAGCGGATAGGTGGGAGAGAAGATGGACAGGTCAATGAGGCGGAGATGAGGGGGAGGTTTGGTCATGGGATGAGGCTGGGGGTGGGGAGATTTTGAAACTAGTAAAGTCCACATTGAGACCATTGGGTTTTAGGCTCCCAAGGCGGAATATGAGATGCTGCCCGTCCAGTTTCTGGGTGGCATCATTGTGACACTGGAGGAGGCCCAGGATGGACATGTCACCCACAGAGGGGGAGTTGAAGTGGTTCGTGACTAGAAGGTGGTGTTGTTTGTCGCGAACTGAGCGCAAGCGCTGTACAAAGTGGTCTCCGAGCCTCTGCTTGGTTTCCCCAATGTAGAGGAGGCCACCTCAGGAGCAGCGGATGCAATAGACCACATTAGCTGATGTGCAGGTGAACATTTGTCTGATGTAGAAGGTTTTTTGTGTCCTTGGATGGAGGTGGGGGGGGAGGCGGGGGGAAAGGTGTAGGGGCAGATGTAGCACTTCCTGCGGTTGCAGGGAAAGGTGGTGGGGCTAGTGGGGAATGTGGAGCAGACAAGGGATTCGCGGAGAGAGTGGTCCCTACAGGAGGCAGGTAGGGGTGGGGAGGGAAATATATCCTTCGTTGTGGGGTCAGATTGCAGGTGGTGGAAGTGGTGGAGAATGATACGTTGAATCTGGAGGTTAGTGAGGGCAAGGGGGATTCTGTCTTTGTCTTTGTTTTTGTTGCGGGGAAGGGGTGTGAGAAACGCAAGAGATGCGGTCGAGAGCATTTTTGACCACTGAAGGAGAGAAGTTGCGGTCCTTGAAATACGAGGACATCTGGGATGTTCAGGAGTGGAACGCCCCATCTTGGGAGCAGATGCGGCGGAGGCAGAGGAACTGGGAGTAGGGGAATCGTGTTCTTGCAGGAAGGTGGGTGAGATGAGGTGTAGTCTAGGTAGCTGTGGGAGTCAGTGGGCTTGAAATAGATATCAGTTTTGAGGTGGTCACCAGAGATGGAGACAGGCGCCCAGGAAGGGGAGAGAGATATTAGAGATGGTCCAGGAGAACTTGAGGTTGGGGTGAAAGGTGTTAGTAAGTTGATGAACTGTTCAAGCTCCTCGTGGGAGCATAAGGCAGCGCTGATACAGTCATCGATGTGGGGTGTAGTGCCAGTGTAGCAGCGGAAGAGGGACTATTCCACGTATCCTACAAAGAGGCAGGCATAGCTTGGGTCCATGCGGGTTCCCATGGCCAACCGTTAGTCTGTAGGAAGTGGAAAGAGTTGAAGGAGAAGTTGTTATGGGTTAATAGTCTGCTGTGTCCTAACCCGAGCTAAAGCTATGCAGCATGGCCTCTCTGTTTTTGTAGTAGATGCCTATTACTTGTCAAGTCCAAGATCCTTTTACTTTGCTAATCACTCTGTCAAGGTATCCTGTCACCTTCAAAGATCTATGCATGTGAACCATAAACTGGATTATGCAATTTGAACATTGAGAAATTTAATAATGAAGCTGTCAGTGTCTTCTGTTTTTGGAATGTTAAACCTTGCTGGTCTAACTAAAGAATGCTGATCTTCAGGGATTACTCACCTGACTCTGCAGAGGAGCTGAATTCCTATCATAATATTTTTGGGAACTCTGGGAGCTTTGGCTGTAACTGTTATCTCAGTTCCTTAGTGGCACTGGATGTCTCAAAGTCATTCCCCTACCGTATATTCTCCAAAGTACCCCTTTGTAACATTTGCTGAAATATACCTTCAGGGCGGTATAGTTTAGAAGATCTCAGTTACCTTGTCCTCATGCTGGTTCTTCATGTGTGATCAAACAGCAACAACCAAACTCAAATCTGCTCCCCCTAATGACTGCATATACACCTTCCACAAAGAATATCAGAACAGGCCCTTAATGGCCCACAGCAGGAAATTTCCACCCAACAAATTACTTTCTGAAACACAAGTGCTTGTAGTACAACGAAACCCTGACAGTCATTTTCCATGTGCAGCCTGTGAAATGGCCAATGACCAACTTGCTGGTGCCTCCAAATAATAGAGGAAACTGGGCCAGAATGCTGGGAGAATGCCCCTCCTCTGTGAATTATGCCATTGAATCTTTAATGCCACTTGATGGGTCTGTGGTTAAAAGTCAAATCTGAAAGTGCTCTCTCACCACAGTGAACCCTTGCGACTTCACTGGAGTGCCAGCTCCAATATTGGAGTCAGGTGAAAATGTGAGCAGCTGGGTCAGGCTGACCTCATCCTGGATAGGATTCTTTAGATGGCAGTCAGGGGCGGCAAATTACACTTTTTCCCTACTCTCTCATAGGGAGGTGGCCATTCAGCCCTGTTCTGCCATTCGTTTAGGTTATGGCTGACCAAAAATTAGCTCTATTTACCTGCTTTGATTCTATAACCTTTGCATCATTGCCTAACAGTCTCATGTTTGAAGTTTCAATTGACTGCCATCATTGTGGAAGGAACTTTGAGATTTGCTATATCCTTTGAATGAAGAGGTGATTCCTGACCCAGCTGTAATTTTAAGGTTATTTCCCATTTGACACCAGAGGAAATAAGATCATTAGAGAGAGAGACTTATCGAATGTTGTCAGTTCTGAAGAATGATGAGCCCAGACCTGTTGAATTTGGTGTTTTTATATTTTTAAACTTTTTTTTTTAAAGACTTACTTGAAGAAATTGCTGTTTTAAATTAGCTGGGTTAAAGTAGCAGAGAAAGAAATTTTATTCTTCGCTAGTGTCGCACAGCACAACTTCAAGATGATACAATAAATGAGGAATGTTTGAGTGACCGGGCAGTGGATTGTTGCTGGATTTGATTGTGTATGTGATCTGATAGAAAATTCTATCATGTTCACAGTGCAAACACAAGTATCATTGATTTTCAGAAGTTTAATTGGATGCTATCTACTGCTGTTTTGTGCAACCTTGCTGTGTTTCCCTTCGTTAAAATGTCTACTGTGCTCCAGACCTGCTACTTTGGCTGTGTTGTGCATTGGGACATTCTGTTGGGGTGAAAGATGCTACATAAATGCAGGTCTGTGTGTTCGCTATCAGCAAGGACATAGTTGGAATTTGGAATCAAAAGCAAGGCTGCTAATTTAATGACGCTATTAAGAGGCAGTTTTGTGCTTGGAATCTAGTTTTGAGACTATCCATCTCTGCTCATAGGAGAAAACGTATTTCAATTTCAGTCCAGCAATGTGGCCTGATTTTTGATCTCTCAATCACAGTTATTATGGTGCAGAAGGGAGGCCATTTGGCCCAATATACCTGCATCTGTTCCATTGCCTTGTGCCTATCTCTGCATCCTATTTGTATTCAAATGACCATCCAGTGCCCTCTTGAATGCCTCAAATGAACCAGCCTGTGCCACATTCTCAGGCAGTGCATTCCATACTCAGTGTGAAAAAGTATTTTCTCACATCAGCCTTGCTTCATTTGAGCATCACTTTGCCTACTATGCCTTCTAAGTCTTTAGTCTGTTAGAACATGAACAGCTTCACCCTGTCTATCTAGCCCAGTCATGATTTTGCAAACCTCTGTCAGATATCCAATTAGCCGCTGCCTCTCCTGGGAAAACAGTTCAGCCTGTTCAATCTATCCTTACAGCAGATGGTTTCAGGTATGAGAAACCTTCTTGTAAACCACTTCTTCACTATCTCCAAAGCATTCACCTCTTTCCTGTAAGGTGGCTTCCACAACTCTACACAGTATTTCAGCTGAGGTCTAACAATTCAGCGTCACCTCCTTGCTCTTGTACTCTGTCCCTACTAATGAAGCCAAAAACACTGCTTTATTAACTGCTCTCTCCATTGTCCGTCCTTCCTTCAACCATCTGTGCACTTATACCCCAGGTCTCTCTGCTCCTGAACCTCCTTTATGATTGCACTCCCTATTTTACATTCTGTTTTGATGTTCTTCTGACCAAAGTGCATCACCTCGCATTTCTCTGCATTGAGTCCCAACAGCCACCTAATGTGCCTACTCTTCCAATTTGTCAAAGCTCTTTTGGAATTCTACACTCTCCTCCTCTCAGTTTCCCATTCTTCCAAGTTTTGTGTCATCTGAAAACTTGGAAATTGTTTCCTGCACGCCAAGATCTAGATCACTCGTACAGATCATGAAAATCAAGGGTCCCAATACCAACCCCTGGAGAACTCTGCTCCAAGCCTTCCTCCAGCCTGAAAAATATCCAGTGACCATTGCTTTTTTTTTCTGTCACCACCCAATTTTGTATCCATATTACTGCTGTCACTTTTATTCCATATTCCATGATCTATAACATTCCTGAAGTCTCTGTATGGCACTATATCAAATGCCTTCTGGCAATCTATGTATACCACATCAAAAGAATTTCTTTCACCAACCCTTTGCACTACCTGTTCAAACAAACTCCAGCAAGTTAGTTAAAATGTGATTCTCCCATTTAGAAATCCATGCTGTCTCTTCCTAATCAGTGTACATTTTTCTGTGTGACTACTGATTCTATATGATATCAACCAATTTTAAAATTAGAAACCAAGAACACTTGATATGGTTTTAAGAATTGGAAAGTATATTTATTACTTCCATCTAGAAGGTTATGGGCAACAGATACATATCACAAGCCACTCACCATACTGACTTGGAAATACATCACTGTTCCTTCAGTGTCATTGCCTCAAAACCCTGAAACTCCCTCCCTAATGGCATTGAGGACTGCAGCAATTCAAAGCAGTAGCTCACCACCACCTTCTCAAGGGCAGCTAGGGACAGGCCACAAAAAAAGTGCTGGCTCAGTCATTGAAACCAACATCCCTCAATTGATTAATAAAAAAAAAATCCCAGGCAAGTGTCTGCTGAATTAATAATGTGCGTTTTCTTCTCTTCCATGTTGTCTGATTGCAGAGCAGTAAAGAAGCACTTTCGGAAGTCAATGCCACTGGAATCGCCATGTTGTTTTCAGCAGGAACTTTCCTGTATGTAGCCACCGTACATGTGCTCCCAGAGGTGGGAGGCAGTGGTCACAGTCACAAGGCAGAGTCTGGTGGCAAGGGACTCAGTCGACTTGAGGTTTGCACCCTTGTCTTAGGCTGTTTGATTCCATTGGCCCTCTCTGTGGGTCACCAGCACTAACCAATAGAGGAGCAAGGAGGAGTGTGGATAATGATCTGACAGCAATCCCATTTCAGCCAAGCCTGATTGCTGCGAGCTTTGGGATTTCCCCTCCTTCAGTTTTACTATGTGGAATTCCAAATGAAGTGGCATTGAAAAGATAAAGTAAATTGTATTAAATTTGGCCAAGTTGCAAATAGGAAGTCCGGAAGAATTCCCGCAGTGTAGTCATTTTGAAAATGTAATTGCGTTTTGTCTCTGCCTTCATGACAAAGCCAGACATCTCTTAGTTCCCAGTCCAACCAAATGAGGGAATGTAAGCTTAATCAAACGGTGTCTCGGTGCAAAGGACAGAATTCAACAATTTAATAAATTAACTAAGAACTTGGGGTGTGTTAGAGATAATCCATGGCACTAATCAAGCCAAGGGAATTAACACTGGGTTTGATACATGGTATGTGAAATATAATTTTTACTGAATTTTATTCATAAGTGTACAGTCTTTACATTCAGCTGCAGTCTTAGAGTTTGTAGCCTGTAGATTTGGCGCCTGCTAGTTCAGTGTCGTTTGTGCTCTGATCAGATTTGAAAGGCTCCTATACTCTGAAATGTTTTTGTTCAAAAGTACCTTGTTAGCGTACATGGGGAAAGAAGAAAATAGCCTGGATTTTGATTTTAAATGGTTAACCATATTGCACCCCAGGTGGAAGGAGGGTAATGGTGGAAGCATAAGAAAGATAAAATTTGCTTGGGATGAAACAGATGGTAATATTCAGTGCTTGGTTAAGGATTGGGAATTGGATGGGATTAAGTTTGAAGGAGAGGGTGTGATGTCAGATGGGCTATAGATATGGAATTTCAATTATGGGTTACCTTTGACCCTTCAGAACAAAGTTTAACTTGTTGGGGAAAGATGAGAAGGGGAGCACTGGTGCGAGTAATGCTCATTGGAAGTTAGGGGGAAGGGCTGGGCTGGTAGAAAGAGGTCTGATAACACCAGCATAGAGAGCTGAACGATCGGGAAAGGTTTTTAATCGCTCAACGGTAGTTAAAAATGTGAAGAGTGAAATGTAATTGGTATGACTGTGCTGACTTGTTCTGAACCATGTTCCATTGCTTCAGTTGTTTTATGTGAACTGAAATCATTCCATGGATGATTGCCTTATTTTTCCAACTCTTTGTGCACATTAACAGATGTTGCAATTTTTTTTTGTTTTTAAGATAAATATCTATAAATAAATTTTTAATAAGTGGCCAATCTTTTGTACAGTCTTTATTTTACCCCATCTTGAGTATGATGTAAACATCTCTCTTCAAACTGAAAAATTGTTGAGAAAATAGGTGAACAAAATGCTGGTTATATTGTATCCTTTATCAATAAAAGGGCTTTTTTTTCCTTATTAACTCTATCAGCCCTATTTTATTTTAACTCTATCCATTTTCTGGTTGTGAGATGATGTATCCCAGTACATCATTTACCAAAGGAGCCTGTCTGTGATTTACTGGAATGATGTCAATGAGTAATATAATTCCATAAGATTTTTAACAATGGGGTATTGTTCGTTTGTGCTTTCAATTCATTCCAGAACCAGTCTGTCAGTCTAAGGATACGGGATAGGCCATTTAGGACTGAGATGGGGAGAAATGTCTTCACCCATAGAGTGGTGAGCCTGTGGAATTCTCAAACACAGGCCAAAACATTGAATGTTTTCAAAAAGGAGTTGGGTCTAATTCTTAGAGCTAAAGGGTATGAGGAGAAAGCAGGAACAGGGGTTAGATGACTGGCCATGATCATATTGAATGGTGGAGCAGGCTCAAATGGTCGAATGGACTCCTCCTATTTTTCCACGTTCAGAACAGGGGCTGCCAACATGTCAATCAGGAGTAATTGGCAGCTCACTGTCTGCGATTGATTAGCTCATCACTCGTATATTGGATTCAAGTTGTATGATTAATTTACCCACCACAAGTGGCGCTAGCAACAGAAGGTGACCACCGCTGCCAGGGACACCAGGGACCAGAGGAGCAAGGGCAGAAGCAGTGGTGGCAACTGGAGAAAAGCTACCAGGAGAAACCGAGGTCCCGAGCTAGGGAGGGTCGGTCCAGGTGGTCTGGAAAGCGATCGAGGAATCTATGCCAGGAAGCTCCGTGACAGCCAGGAGACAAGATCAGTCTAGAGGGTCCCGAACAAGGGGCTGGGCAAGAAGGGGTGAAAAATCTAGTAGGGGAAAGAAGTCACATTTCACCTTGAAATCAAGATCTATTTCCTTTGTTTTAATTACATATTTTGCAATTCAAATGTAATCACTAAATAGTACCTTATCAATTCAGACATTTCCAGTCTTAGCTCGTATTTTTTATTATTATTAAGAGTTGGTGACCTCTAGTCTGGAGAGTAGATCTTCCACCTCCAAATGCCTTGCTCACACTGTACTCGATCCATTAATGTGAGCTGGTTCATCTGCAGGCCTGCCTTTAACGGTAGCCAGGTCCTCCGAGGTGTTTTCGGTTTGATGTGGATCTGGCATTTCATCCAAATGCATGTCAAACAAATACACCTGCCAAGAGGCAAACTGAAATGCTTTTAGCAAAAAAAAAAGCAGTGATGATTCAAATGACACTGGAATGCAGAAACAAGTGATTACATAGGCGTTGTAACCCAAGTGATAGATTTCTATGAAGTGATTTAATTTGGTTTGGAGAGGACACGACATATGTATGTAACAAAGTACAGAAGAAATTGAAATGCAACGAGTGTGAAGAGTGTGAATGTGGGAGTGAGCAGCAAGTCAGGGTTATGTGTCTGTTAACGGCTTATATTTTTAAGCCTAAATTTATATACTCCAATTAACCAGCTGGAATGCTTCATATTTTGGTTCAAACATTAAAGTGTAAAAACAGATAATGGTGAAAGCACTTAGTAGAGCAAGTGGCATTCTGTGGAGAGAGCGAGATAATTCAAGCTTCAAGTTGATGACTCTTGCTCTGATAGGTGGTCAAAGGTCCATAATTTTACATCAAAATGTAATTGCCAGTAATGTCATATACACTGAACACTTCTCAACTCCACTACATTCTCGCCTCGTGATCCCTATTCAACACTCCCTCCCCTTTCACTTTCACTGAACCCTGTACAATATCCCCTTCCCTTTCACATATAGCATTTCAGAGAGGCAGCTGCCTACCACCATCTCCAGTGCCATTAGAAATTGCCAATAAATGATTCTCATGCCAGCAATGTTGAAGGTTGATTTTCTTTGCTAACTGCTACATAGTTTTCATTAGCCACCAGAATCTCTCGGTGCCTGGTAGTTTTTATGTTTTGTTGCAGCTCTTGCCCGTTAGGTGGTATAGTAGTTTGCCACTTTTCCTTACTGGGAGTTGGCATGTTGCCCAGAGAAGGCTCAGTCAGCAGAGCCCAAACATATCATCCTGATCCAGTGGGGACATTCACTGTTCAGCATTACCTTTCCACTTGAGAGGTAGAGAAAGTCTTCGGGCGCTCACTGCATCAATGCTTCAATGCATGCAAGTTCTCTTGGGGTTCAGATCTCATCAAGGAAGTCAGCAACTTGAAAACCTTACCTGTTTATTTTCTGTCAGCTGATCACTTCAAACATCAATGGGAATTATCCGCACTGCAGATCTTTGTCACAGAGTCTGTGGAACAGAAAGCGGTCCTTCAGCCTCTCCTATCCCACGTTGTGTTCTATCTGCCACTTCTTTGCCCACTCCTAGCCTGTCCAAGTCCTTCTGCAATCTCCCCACCTGTTCCACATTACCTGTCCTTCCATCTATCGTATCATCTGCAGCCTTAGCAGCAATGCCCTCAGTTTCTTTGTCCAGATCATTAATGCATAACGTGAATAATTGTCCTAGTATTGACCCACGTGGGTCATTAGTCATCAGCTGCCATCCTTAAAAAGATCCTTTTTGTCTGCTCTGTGCCATCTGTCAATCCTCTATTCATGTCAATACCTTTTCTTTATTCTTTCGTGGGATATGGATGTGGCTAAGTCAGCATTTATTGCCCAGATAGCAGACTCAACCATAATGTTGTGGGTCTGGAGTCACATGTCAGACCAGGTAATGGTGGCAGTTTCTTTCACTAAAGAAAATGAACGAGTTTTTTTTTAAATCTGACAATGGAGTCATGGTCATCATTGAACACTTAATTCCAGATTGTTACTGAATTCACATTCCACCATGGACGCATTTGATCGTGGGCCCCTAGAGCATTAGCTGGGTCTCTGGATTCAGAGTCCAGCAATAATGGATTGCATCCCCTTTTACTGTCCCTAGCACCATGAGATTTTATCTAGCAGCCTTTTGTGCAGCATCTTGTTAAAGGCCTTCTCCAAATCCAAATAGATCATGACTCTCCTTTGAGGAGGTTACAAGCAAGTTAGACAAAGAACTCTAACAGATTGCCAGTCATGATCTCCCCTGTACGAAGCCGTGTTGACTCATCCCTATTGTACTATGCACTTCCAAGTACTACGCAATCTCATCCTTAATAATGGACTCTAAAATCTTACCAAAGACCAAGAGGTTAACTGGCCATAGTTTACAGTCTTCTACCTCCTCCTCTTCTTAAACGGGTGTTAAATGAGCCATTTTCCAGTCCTCTGGGACCCTTCCTGACAGTGATTCCTGAAAGATGACCACCAATGCCTCCACAACGTCCTCAGTTATCTTCTTCAGTACACCGGAGTGTAGTCTATTTGGTCTGGGTGATTTATCCACCTTCAGGCCTTTAGTTTACCCAGAACTTTCTCATTAACAATGGCCACTACACTCACCTTTGCTCCCCTGGTTCTTTTGAAGTTCTAGTATGTTGCTGGTATCTACCACAGTGAAGATTGATGTACAGTTCCTCTGACATTTCATTCCACATTAGTACGCTCCAACCTCTTTTGCTAATGGTCCACTGTCCACTCTTGCCACTCTCGCCACTCTCTTACCTTTCAGATATCTTAAAAAATCTCTTGCAATCTTCTTTTATGTGACTAAGTAGCTTACTATCATATTTCATAATCTTCTCCTTATTGCTTTTTTACATTATCCTCTTACTGGTTTTTAAAGACTTCTCAACCCTCTGGCTTCCTACTAATCTTCCCCACATTGTATGCTTTTCCTTTTACTTTTATGCTGTCCGTGACTTCCCTTGCCAGCCATGGTTGCCTCATCCTCCCTTTTCTATATTGTTTTTTCCGTGGGATGAATTTCTACTGTGTTTCCCCAGTTACCCCCAGATACTCCTGCCATTGCTGCTCTACTGTTTTCCCTGCCAGGTTCCCCTTCCAATCAATTCTGACCTGCTCCTCCCTGATGTCTTTCTGTTTACCTTTACCTCTGATTCTAGGTTCTCCCTTTTAAACTGCAGGGTAAATTCTATTATATTCCTACTGACACTATCTGCGCCACTCATTATTTTGTATACCCCAATCAGGTGTGGAGGGGTTAAGAAGGTTGGTCCTGTATTCATTGGAATTTAGAAGAATGCGAGACGGCCTCATTGAAACATAAAAGATTCTTAGGAGACTTGACAGAGTAGATGTGGAAAGGTTGTTTCCCCTTGTGGGAGAACCTAGGACCAGTGGGGGACAATCTTAGAATAAATGGTCACACATTTAAGGGGGAGATGAAGTGAAATTTCTTCTTGGAGGGTAGTGAATCTGTGGAATTTTTTACCACAGAGAGCTGTTGAGGCTGGTTCATTAAGTATATTCAGGGCTGAGATAGACAGATTTTTAATCAGTAAGGGAATTGAGGGTCATGGGGATAAAGCAGGAAAGTGGATTTGAGGATTACCAGATCATCCATACCAGACTTGATGGGCTGAATGACCTATTTATTTTCCAATGTCATGGTCTAACTGAATTTCAGCGGTGAGTGATAGTGCCTCTGAGCTAGGGGGTCAGGGTTCAAATCCCACCTGCTCCAGAGGTGTGTAATAACATTTCTGAGCAGGTTGACTAGAAAATATCTACATTTAAACAAATGTGGCATCTATGAACCCTAACAAAACTGAAATCAAGAGGAATTGGGGGGGGTGGGGGAAGCTCTCTGCTGGTTGAAGTCATACCTGGCATTACAAAGATGGTCATGGTTTTTGGAGGGCAGTCATCTCAGCTCCTGAACACATCTGCAGGGGTTCCTCAGGGTCGTGTTGTCGGCCCAACCATCTTCAGCTGCTTCATCCGTGACCTTCCTTCCATCATAAGGTCAGAAGTGGTGATGTTCACTGATGATTGTGCAACATTCAGCACCATTCATGAATTCTCAGATACTGCAGCAGTGTATGTTCAACTACAACAGGTCCTGGACAATATCCAGCTTTGGGCTGACAAGTGGCAAGTAACATTCGTGCAACACCATCTCCAACAAGATAGAATCTAACCATCTGCCCTTGACTTTCAATGGTGTTGCCATCACTGAATACCCCACTATCAACATCCTGGGGGTACAATTGGCACCACATCCATGAGCATCCACTCCCTCCACCTAACGCTCAGTAGCAGCAATCTGTACTATTTGCAAGATGCACTGCAGAAATTCACCAAAGATCCTTAGACAACACTTTCCAAATCCACAACCATTTCCATCTGGAAGGACAAGGGCAGCAGATACATGGGAACACCACCCCCTGCAAATTCCCCTCCAAGCCACTCACCGTCCTGACTAGGAAATACAAATTGAATGATTTATTTTTATCTATTTATTATCACTCGCAATTTACAATGAATAATAGTGAGAAGCTTCAACAGTCGCCACAATTCAGTGTCATTTTGAATAGTTTAAAAATAAAAAGGATAAAAGGTATAACTGAAAGAGAAGTCTTGAGGCCTGAGATGGCTCACCAACGAAACTATCTCTCCTGTACCGTTGGCCGCTGCCTGCAGTGGACCCACCAACATTGAAGTCTTTCAATGCCATCTCTCCGCTGCTGGGCCCACCTCACCACCGTCAATGCTGATGCAGGGTACTGCACGGGACCCATATTTGCACCGCAACCAGGAGTCCCCAGCTCCGCTGCCGTTTCAAACGTGCCAGGAGTGCCGGCTCCGAGTGTGCTGCAAACCAGGAGCCCCTGGCTCTGCTGCCAGACCAGGCCACCGCCGCTGTCTCACCGCCAGTCCCACTCTGGGGGGCTGCCCTCCTTTAAGATGTCGCCACCATCTTGAAAAGTCCGCTGCCACCAGCCCCGAACGCCAGGGTGGGATGTCCCTGCTGCTGCCGGATCTGCCTCCAGTCACCGTGTGAAGCCACATCCACCACCGTATTCGATTGCCAGTGGGAGCTGTCTTTCTACTCACATCCCCCTCCAGTTGCCACGCCAATTTCGCTGTCCCCGTTCCTTCGCCATCGCTGGGTCAAATTCCGAGAATTCTCACCACCCCCACCCCCCCACACCCCCGACCACCCTCCTGAGGGCTTTGTGGGTCTACCTTCAGCACACGGATCGCAGCGGTTCAAGAAGTCAGCTCACCACCACCTTCTCAAGGGGCAACTAGGGACAGGCAATAAATGCTGGGACCAGCCATTGGCGTGAGCAACTAAAACTTTTATGATACCTGAGCCAAAAGACTGGTAGTCTAAAATGCTCAGGCCGGGCCTGAATCTGCTGGTGTTTGGACGACTAAAGTGGTGGCGAGTAAAAGGTCTGAAGGGTCAATGAAGAGAAGTTGGTTGAGGGAGACCAGGACCAGGAGGGAGACCTTAACATTGTAATTGGGCTGAAACATAACTAATGGTAAAGAAACATTTCCTCACACAAAAGTGTACATCCTGGATGGGGATGGGAGGTTGGGGTTCCTTTTAAAAATACCAAAACTGAGATTGACAGATCTATGTTGGCGAGGGAACCAGGCCAAATTGAGCTAAGGTCAGAGGCAGCCCTTACTGAATGGCCTCCTGGCATTCTGTGACGGTGGGTCTAGAGCTGGGGTCATTCGGAGATGGAGGATGCAAAGGGGGAGGGAGGGACCTGGGATGGCTGTAAACAGCGCCTCCCTCCTCTGCCCATTTTGCCAGGTTCAGGTCCCTCCTCCTCCTCCTCTTCCCGAGAGGCTGCTGCTTACCATCTCTCCCACCCTCCCCGCAGCTTTAGCTCAGTCTGGCTATGTTCAGCTCGAAATCAGCAGCTATCCTCCCGTCCTACTTCAGCGAGTACACCGAGACGGCTGACAAGCTGGATATTAGCACCAAAGTACAACTTCACGGGGTCCTGTGGAAGAGACCCTTTGGGAGACAGTCAGCCAAGTGGTCTAAAAGGTGATATATTCTCTATGTTTGCTGTTTGTTGCATTGACACCTGGGCAACTCTGCACACAGCACAAAACCCCCGGAAATGTTTTATTTCTCTCGCTTTTCCATGTTTGTTTGCTTGTTTGCTTGCTTGTTTCTCTCGCGACAATCGTTTGCCCTCCGTCTTTCCCTTCCTCGCTTTTCTCTCTGCACCTTGGTATCACGATCAGCGTTTGAAATCTGTCCAGGCTTTCTGTTTTTTTTTTACAAAAAAAAAGCAGCATTCACCAGCTCAGCAAATCTCTGCCGTCCGCTCGGGGTTGAGAGTTCTCGGACAGTCTTTAAAACACTTGATTTTCCCTCCCCCCAACCTAACACACACAATTTAAAACCTCGATATAGAAATAGCAGGGTCGACTGATAAAATCCCAGCTCCTCCTGCATGTTGTTTTTATGATCAGTTCCATCTCTATGACACACAGTCACTCCTCCAACCTCCCAGTACCCCAGCACTTTCTAAATAGGTTCCACCTCTTAAGAGAAAGGGAGAGAGACATTTGGGGTAAGATTGCAAATTAGAATCCGAGTCTGGCACCAGTTAACTCACTTCAATAGATTTCCACTCGGAGCCTGCAAAAACTCACTTAAGGAGAGAGGGTGATCCATGCCTTTTTTTTTACTGAGCCTTCGAAAGATTAAGGGAATTGTCCGACCTATTAATGTGGCTAACACACATCACCAAATCCACATCGACCCTGGAACTTGGTAACCCCATAGCTACTAGTGACACCGGGTCATGTGTATTTTACCAAGTGAGAATTTGAAGTCGGATTTTGCGCTCTAACTAATGCTTGACTCCCGAAATTCCTCTCCTGCAAGTTTAATAAGGAGTTAAGCCCAAGGGGAAACCTGCTTGATAATTTTGGAATATGCAAGTAGTGGATGACTAAGTGGCAAATAATAATGTCTGCATTCCAGGCAATAACCATTTCTAAAAAGAGATAATCTAACCATCGCTCCTTGGCATTATCAAAACTGAATCAACAACCTGGAGATTACCATTGTCCAGAAACTCATTATATTTTTGAAAATAAAAAAAAGTTGACCAGAAACTCAACTGGACTCACCATATAAGTACAGTGACTACAAGAGCAGGGCAGAAGCTAGAATTATTGCAGTGAGTAACTCACCTCCTGACTTCCCAATGCCATCATACAAGGCACAAGTCATGAGTGTGATGGAAAACTTCCACTTGCCTGGATGAGTGCAGCTCCAAGAACACACGAGAAGCTTGACACCGTCCAGGACAAAGCAGCCTGCTTGATTGGCACCACATCCACACGCATCCAATCCATCAACCACTGATGCTCAGTAGCAGCAGTGTGTACTATCTACAAGAAACACTGCAGAAGTTCACCAAAGATCCTCAGACACACCTTCCAACCCATGACCACTTCCATCTAGAAGGACAAGGGCAGCAGATACATGGGAACACACCCACCTGCATGTTCTCCTCTAAACCACTCACCGTCCTCACTTGGAAATATATCGCCGTTCCTTCACTGTCACTGGATCAAAATCCTGGAATTCCCTCCCTAATGGCATTGTGGGTGTACCTGCAGCACATGGACTGCAGTGGTTCAAGAGCGCAGCTCACCACCACCTTCTCAAGGACAACTAGGGATGGGCAATAAATGCTGGGCCCAGCCAGTGATGCCCATATCCTTTCGATGAATATTTTTAGAAATTGCTGCACCAGTCTTGGTCTTGTATGATGCTTGGCTACCGTGACAGGAGAGAATAGTTATGCAGTCACAGGAAATTTGAAATAATGACGGGAAGTATCAGCCAGATGCCACAGATCTGACAGGTTGTGCCTGGGAGAAACATGTTTAATGTTAGTGGTCTATCACCAGAACCCAGATCCGAATACAGTTTAATGATAGCTGAGTATTGTGCTCACTGGACTGCAAGGCTAATGAATAGGAGGGATTTGGATCTTTCATGTGCTGTTTAACAGAAGCCTTGTTTAAGTCTGAACAAATACAACACGAAAACGTTGTTATATTGGAAGGATTGGCTCAGTATCTAAATAACTATCAGTTTATAGTGTCAGTGAACACTTAGCAACATGGTTTAGTGGTAGCGTGCACAAAATTGCATTACCCATAGTGACAAGTCTGTTATAGCAATTGTGTGAATTTCTGGCAGAATCACTTGCCATTGTCAGGCTTCACTGAGTTTTAATTGGTTTGATGCCCAATAAAATAACTGCTTGGAGTGCTCTACTAGAAACAGAAGAACAAGGGGAGGACATTCAGCCCCCTTCTAGCCACTTTGACCATTCAATTAAATCATCTAAAAGCTGAGGAGGCTGCAGATCTGAAACAAAAACAGGAAAGTGCTGGAGAAACTCAGCAGGTCTGGCAGCATCTGTGGGAAGAGAGAAAAACAGAGTTAACATTTTGAGTCTGGTGTGACCTCGGATTAATTAGATCAAGGTTGGTCTATGTCTTAATTCTGCCATCCCAACTTGCCTTTCTGCTTGGGAAGGATCGGTCGTTGAAATACTTAATCAATCCCAGCCTTGACACGGTTTTTGAAGGAGTGTTCTGGACTTGCATACACCTCTTAGTGTGAGAATAAGTTTATGCTTTCATTTTGAAGTCACCCTACCTTGATTTGGATGTCTCCTGCCAGAGGAAATACCCTTTTAAATTCTTTAATCACCTCCATTCAATTCTCTGGGTGCTCCAGTTTCCTCCAACAGTCCAAAGATGTGTGGGTTAGGTGGATTGTCCATGCTAAATGGCCCACTGTTTACAGGAATGTGCAGATGGATTAGACATGGGAGATGCAGGGTTACAGGGAGAAAATAGGGGCTGGATCTGGGTGGATGCTCTTCAGACGGTCTTTGGACTCAATGGGCCGAATGGCCTGCTTCCGCACTGTAGGGATCGCCGAGATCCTTCAGGCCCGAAACGTCAGCCTTCCTGCTCCTCTGATGCTGCTTGGCCTGCTGTGTTCATCCAGCTCTACACCTTGTTATCTAGATTATATAATCTGTCCTCATTATATAACGCGAGCTCTGGTGAATCTGCATTACACCCACTCCACGTCTGTACAGCCTTCCTGAGGCGCAGTGATACTGTGTATTGTTTTTATCAGTGATAGCAGTGAGCTTAACCCTCATATGTCATATGTTTTTAATTGTACATCATCCAACACAGGCAGAATTTCATCTGCGATATCTCCCGATTGAACGCTGTATGGGCTCTGGTTTAAGTTAGTTTAGGACAATGCGATGTAGTTTCGGAGTGACCTGATGTACTGAATCGTTTCCTCTTCAACAGATTCTTCCTCATCAAGGACAGCTTTTTACTCTACTACGCTGAAAATGAAAGAAAAAGCTTTGAGAGCAACAGATATTTCAACATACACCCCAAGGTCAGTTCGGCGCATTGGATTCAGAGAATAAAGGAAACCTGGAAACTTGCAAAAATATTGTCTGCTCTGATTCTGGGATTACAGTCCATCCTTCAGTCAGAGTATTATGATTCATCCACCCTAGAGACTTGAGCATACATTAGCGTGCTAAGGGAGTGCTAAACTGCTGTTGGCGCTGTTATTATACCGAGCCCATCTTCTATCTCAGGTAGATGTTAAAAGAGGCCAATCAGAGTTCACCTGGTGTCCTAGACAGTAGTTACCCCTCAGCCAACATGATTAAACAAATTGCCTGTTTTGTTGTTTGTGGGTCTTGGTCGTGTATAAATTAGCTGCCGTGTGCTCACAGCAATGATGACGTTTCAAAAACAGTTCAACAGTAATGAAGAAAACAGAGTTAATGTTTCGGGTTCGGTGACCCTTCCTCAGTTCACCGGACCCGAAACGTTAACTCTGTTTTCTCCTTCACAGATGCTGCGAGACCTGCTGAGCTTTTCCAGCAACTTTGTTTTTGTTCCTGATTTACAGCATCCGCAGTTGTTTTGGTTTTTTTTCAACAGTAATGCGGTGCTTTGGGACATGCAGTAATTAACCCGCTGAGGTTACATTGACTGTCCCTGACCGCACATCAGCCAATGTATGATTCTTATTTTACATAAGATTCTCACGGCTGCGTCTGTTAATATTTTTGACCGTGTTCCATACTCACTTGCAGTTAATGAGCTTCTTTCTAATGACACTTCTTGAAATAACATATCATCAAAGAACACATGAATCACATTGGCCATTAAGAGAAATCCCGGTGATTTGCTCCAATGGAGACGGTTTTCTTCTTAAAATTGTTTCACGGTTAATATTCTCTCCTTGAATGATACCAAGCTTCCCATTTATAATTCTCCTGTGTTGATGTTATAGTTCAGGACGGTGGGCAGGACTACAACCATGTCATTGGGAAGATATTTAAAGCGTCTCCCAAAAACGGCTTCACCAGTCCTTCTGAACTGGGTCGGTCACCATCAACAACTGTGCGCAATATAAATCACCCAAAAATGCAGCAAAACGACCCAACGTGTTTCACAGGAGCAGGCGACCCAACATAAATGGATACCGAGCCACAGAATGAGATAAGAGTGCAGGTGTTCACAAATCTGGTCAAGGCGATGTAAAACAGTGCGTTAAAGGAGGGGAAATGAGGTGGAGACAGTGAGGAAGGTAACTCATAGCCTTACAGCAAAACGGACTGAAAGTAGGGCCACTAACCATGGGACTTCTGAAGTCAGGAGAGTACAGAGATAGCGGTGGGGTGGGGGGGGAGGGATCGAAGCCATTGGGGAGGAGGGGGTTTAAGTGCAAGCATCCTAATTTTAGAAATCGCAGTGACATTTAACCAGAGGCTAGTGTAGATCAGCAAGCACAGAGTAAAGGTAGTAGCAGTTTAGATCAGGTGATGTTTGGAATCCCTTTGAATCAGGGACCTGCCACCATCACCCTCCTTCCCTCCCCTTCCTCCCTCAGGAGGCTACAAGGAATACCCCACAGCCAGGTTTGCTGGCTGTGCTCCCTGGACAGTAGGACCCCAACCACAATCACTCCACCCAATGAAACATACCCCAATCAACAAACTCACCACCGGATGACATGTCCAACCTCAGCAGGGAATGGGGGCATTAATTCCACCCATCAAGGCTAGGCTTAAAAAGGCCTACAGAAAAACACGGGCTGTATAGGAACAGGAGACTCTTCCTCAGCCTAGTTTGAAAAGTTAAACTGGTTGAGGGCCTGGAATTTCTCTGCTGCACTGCATTGGTTGGGGTTGGGTCTTCCAGTTGGCTATTTCCAGTAAAGTCATAACTGGATTCTAAGAGAAGGGGCTCCCTGTTCAGGATAGGTAGTGCCCTTTGCCATGCAAATGACAGCGCTGCATTTATATAGTGCTGTGTCCCATCTCAGGACATCCCGATGCCCTTCACAGCCAATGAAACGCCAGAGTAGTCACTTTGCACTGTAGGAATGCAGTAGCCAGTTTATGCACAGCAAGCTCCCACAGACGTGATTAAAACCGCATCGGCCACCACAGGGTTTGCGAAATAAGTATTGGCCAGGGCACCAAAAAGAGCTCCTTAGTCATCTTCAAAATAGATCATTTATATTTACTTGTGAGGGAAGATGAGGCTTCTCTTTAAATTCCCATCCTAAGACTGGGATCATGACATTCCCCAGTACTGCACAGTACTGACCTTGATGACTTGCTGAAGTTTCCAGAATGGATGTTGAATACACAACGTTCTCATTGAGATGCATGATTTCTACCCGCTCAGTACAGCTCACAGCTAGATGAAAAGAAAACAACCAGAAGAGTCCCCTGTTGTCACTGCTCTCACACTATGAGGTACTATCACATATTCTGAGGGGTCACTAGCTGACTGGATTCCTACCTGCCCCTCAGGATGGTCTACTGGCTCCTTGACTGTTTTCAAAGCTAGGTCTGCTTCTAATACTGGCTGTGATTTGAATGTTGTGATGGAAATAGGTTCTAGAAAACCCTTCATTTTGCCAAATGGTGAAAACACTGCTGGAATATAGACATTGGGAGGAGCCTGGAGCTGGGACAGTAGTTGGGGACCGGTTTGTTCCCAGGATGTAGATATCGCTAGCAAGGCGGCTGTAACATATGTTCTTGAACCGATTCTTGGGTTAAGTCCTGGAATTCCCTCCCTAAGGTCATTGTGGGTCTACCTGCAGCACATGGACTGCAGCGGTTCAAGAAGATCTAAAGGTCAACTAGGCACCGTCAATAAATGCTGGCCCAGCCAGCAATACCCATGTGCCATAAATGAATTTTTAAAAAATTCATTGCAGTCCGTGTGGTGTAGAAACACCCACAATGCTGTTATCAAGGGAATTCCAGGAGCTTTCTGTGCTTAGCTCTGACGCATTAGCTGGACACTCACTTACCTGTGTCTCTTGCAAGCTATTTCTGCTGTTTGGCATGCATATGTTCCTGTTTGGTTGCTTCACCAGGTTGACACCTCATCTTCAGGTATGCCTAGTGCTGCTCCTGGTATGCCCTCCTGTATTCTCCATTGAACCAGGGTTGATCCCCTGTCATGATGGTAATGGTTGGAGTGGGGGATATGCCGGGCCATGAGGTTACAGATTGTGCTGGAGTACAATTCTGTTGCTGTTGATGGCCCACAGCGCCTCATGAATTATTCCCAGTCTTGAGTTGCTAGATCTGTGTGAAGTCTGTCCCATTTAGCACAGTGATAGTGCCACACAATGGAAGTTATTCTCAATGTGAAGATGGGACTTTATCTCCACAAGGACTGTGCAATGTCACTCTTACTGATATTGTCATGGTCAAATGCAACTGCAGCTGGCATATTGGTAAGGATGAGGTCAAGTATGTTTTCCCCTTTTGTTGCTTCCCTCACCACCTGCTACAGATCCAGTCTAGCAGCTATGTTCTTTAGGATCCGAGCAGCTCGATCAGTAGTACTCCTGCTGAGCCACTCTTGTTGGTGGATGTTGAAATCCCCCATCCAGAATAAATTCTATGCCCTTATCACCCTCAGTGCTTCCTCTAAGTGTTGTTCAACACAGAGTACTGATTCATCAATTGAGGGAGGACAGTATGTGGTAATCAGCAGGAGGTTTCCCTGCCCATGTTTAACCTGAAGCCACAAAACTTCATGGGGTCTGGAGTCAATGTTGAGGTTACCCAGGGCAACTCCCTCCCAACTATATACCATTGTGCTGCCACCGCTGTCCTGTTGGTGGGACAGGATATATCCAGGGATGGTGATGGTAGTGTCTGGGACATTGTCTGTAAGGTATGATTCTGTGAGTATCATAGAATCCCTACAGTGTGGAAACAGGCCCTTCGGCCCTACTTAGTCCACATCGAACCTCAGAGCATCCCACCCAAACCCACCCCCCTATAAACCCACCGAATCTACACATCCCTGAACACTATGGGCAATTTAGCATGGCCAATGCACCTAGCCAGTCTTTGGACTGTGGGAGGAAACTGGAGCACCCGGAGGAAAAGCACGCAGACATGGGGAGAATGTACAAACTCCACACCCACAGTCGCCTGAGGGTGGAATCGAACACAGGTCCCTGGCGCTGTGAGGCAGCAGTGCTAACCACTGAGCCACCGTGCTGCTAGTCATAGTACAACTATGTCAGGCTGTTGCTTGCCTTGTCTGTGGGACAGCTCTCCCAATTTTGGCACTAACCCCCAGATGTTAGTGAGGTGGACATTGCATGGTCAACAGGGCTGTTTCTGCCATTGTCTTTTCCGGTGCCTAGGCCTATACTGTGTCTGGCTTCATTTCTTCGATGAATTTTCTGTAGATCGGGGTCAGGGGGCTGGTTGGAGCAGTGCTAGGTGGAGACTATGGAGTCTCTTGTATTCGTTCAGAGCTCTCTGAAGTAGATTCTCAATTTGCCTCTTGTGCTATAAGTGGAGTGAATGGATTAACAGCTCTCTATGGGTGAATCACAATCCCCACCCCGGCCCCATTATTCCAGGTTTTGTCACAGAGTCTCCCATATGGAACACAGCAGTGTTCCCTTTGTGTGTGCAGGGGTAACGGTTTGTGTGCAGACCTGACCAGCATTGTTTAGCCAGGATAGGGCCGCCATGAAGAGGGTGAAGTGTATCGAGAGGTCCCAGGGATGAGAGACTTCAGATCAGAGAAGCTGGAATCGTTTGCTGTAGGAGTGGAGAAAGAGTTGGAGGAGATTTGAGAGGATGATCAAAATCCTGTCAGTTCTGCCGGAGCGAACAAAGAGAAAATATTTGGCCCATGGTAGTGAGCAGTTGTGATCAGGGGTGCCCTGCCCAGATTCAGTAGTCACCAGGCAGAGAGAATTCCATAAATAAACCAAACAGCCTGGGCAGACCACCACATGTTCAGTGTTAACAGGTCCTATCCTGCAGTAGACCATGGTTGGAATTGTGAATAAAAGGTGGATTAGTTCTGATACAGAGA